AGGGCAGGGCGGCGCGTGGGCAGGGCAGAGTGGTGCGGCTGCCAGCAGGGCGGCGCGCGGGCAGCAGGGCGGCGCACACCAGGGCGGGCAGCAGCAAGGCGGCGCGGGTAGGGCGGTGCGGGCAGCGGTGCGGCTGCCAGCAGGGCGGCGCGCGGGCAGCAGGGCGCCGGCCAGTAGGGCTGCGAGCAGCAGGGCGGGCAGCAGCAGGGCGGCGCGAGCAGCAGGGCGGCGCGCAGCAGGGCGGTGCGGACAGCAGGGAGGCTAAGCGCGGGGTGGGCAGGGCGGCTCAGCGCCGGCCAGCAGGGCTGCGCGCAGCAGGGCGGGCAGCAGCAGGGCGGAACACGAGCTGCAAAGGACGGCGCGCGGGCTGCAAAGGGCGGCGCGCGGGCTGCAAAGTGCGGCGCGCAGGCTGCAAAGGGCGGCGCGGCGGCCAGCAGGGTGGCGCCAGGGCCTCAGATTGCAGGAATTTTACCCTGATTTCCTGAAGTTTGACCCCAATTTTTTAAAATGACCCTGATCAATCAGCCTTTCTTGTTTTACAACCCTGATGAATCAGTGTTTTTTGTTTTCAAAGACTGATTTTCCAGTGTTTCCTGTTTCATGACACTGACGAGTCAGTGTTGTATCGGAGACGACCCTGAAACCGAAAACTCCGAGATTCTCGCAGTTTTGCGCGCTGTCATCATGCCTGTACCCACCCTGCACCGACGCAACCCTGCGGCTCGCCCAGATACAGCTGAACGGGGTAATTTCGGGCACTTTTGGCAAAACGGCGCAAAGAGATTGGCTGTCCCAGCTGATGCAATGTACCGTTGTCACTGTGGATAACCAACACTTGTCATTTCTGACCATTGATGCGCACAAACACACCTAGTGGCTCAGTGGGCTAGTGGTCGCTCTTGTCCTTTTCACCAAGGCAGGGAGTTCTGGGGCAGTCCGCCCAGCCACCCCACGCAGGAGTCTCGTGATTCTGTCATTCGAGCTCTCCAGACTCCACCATCCCTTACAGAAACATCCATCTCTGCAGTCTCCCTGAAGCCTGCTCGGCAGGCTCTCTCTCTCCCAGGGTTTCTAGATACTACTCTGCGATTCAGGAAGGGATAGTGAACGCGCCATGGCGATCACCTGTGAGAACAGCAGCGGTGATGATGACGACGATGCCCTCTACCCCGCCACCGAGATGTTGGAGGCCAGAACGGGTCTAGACTTTCTAGTCTCCGCGCTCTCCCATGAAAAAGAGAAGCAAGCTCCTCTCAGTTCAGGAGCATACACTGGTGAAGCGTCTGACCTCTCCCGCAGAGACGATCGCTTCCAGCCCGCGCATACTGCCAAGCCAGCCGTGGCATCAGCAGCTGGCCCGAGCGTCCGCTTGCCATCTCGTGCCTCGTCTTCGAAGCCTCCGCCTCGTTACAAGCAGGCCGTGCTCCGCTGGGCCGATCCAACCGCTCCTGCCCGTCCTCTCGCTGATGCCGGCGAGTCGGTAAACCCCGTTTCGGCCACTCCATCCAACTCTCAAAAGCCGTCACTAACCACTCTGATTTACGAGGATGCGTTGGACTCGTTCAAGTCCACGTGGTCGTCAGACTACCCATGGCTCATACTCATCAAAAACACTTCTGGTCTGTCTGCGTTCAAGTGCAGATTGTGCATAGACTTTGCAGGTGATGGTGGCAAGTGTGGCAAGAGTGGGCACGGTGCAACCGATCTTCAGACCCAGGCCTTCAAGCGGCATGCCGCGACGAACAAGCACCAGTTGGCCATCGAGCACCAGAAGAAGATGCTAGCTCAGGCTGGGAAGTGTTAGAATATATCTGTAACTGCCTGTAACTGTAGTTAGTGTAGTTATTATAAACTTGTTGGTGGTGCACCTTCTTTGCATCCTATGTTTGCTATATGTACCCTAGTGCTATAGTGAATTTCATTCTCGTCTCTCTCTCCTTGGCACAAACCACCTCGACTCCCCTTGGCCTAGGCTACTAAGCCTAGGCCCTATTCTTACTATTTCAACATGGTATTCAGAGCAGGCACCTTCCTGCTGCCTTCCTTAACGGGCCCACCAGTCTGCTTCCGCTGTATGTCGTCCTGTCGCGCGCCTCGGGCGCGCGGCGATTTTCTGCCCGCCGTGTGCTCGGGGCGCACGGCGGTTTTCTGCCTGCCTGCTTGCCTGCCTGCCTGCCCGTCGTGCGCCCCGTGGCGCGCGACGGTGCCCTGCCCGTCGTGCGCCCCGTGGCGTGCGGCGGGTTCGTCGCCTGTCGCGGCACACAGGGGGCCCGCGCACCCCCCCCCCCCCCCCTTTTCCCGTCGCCCGCCGCGACGCCCTGGGGGGCCGCGCGTCGCCCCCTTCTGCCGCCTGTTCCGGCGCCCAGGGGGGGTCGCGCGTCGGAGCAGCCGCCCCTGGTGCAGCCGCCCCTGGACCTCAGCAGCCGCGCGTCAGAGCAGCCGCCCCTGGAGCAGCCGCCCCTGGTGCAGCCGCCCCTGGACCTCAGCAGCCGCCCCTGGCCCCTGGAGTAGCCGCCCCTGGTGCAGCCGCCCCTGGACCCCGCGACGCCGCCCCTGGACCCCACGGTGCCGACCCTGCAGCTGCATGCGACGCCGTTCCTGGACCCTGTGCTGCCCATTGCCGCCCGTTGCTGCCCGTGCCTGTGCTGCCCATTGCTGCTCTCCCCCCCCCCTCCCCCCCTTCTTCGTCTCCCTGCTGCGCGTGCAGCCGTGGAACGGAGGGTCTGGGGGTGGCGGGTATGGGGGTGATGGGTGGTATGTTTCCCTTCCCCTCCTCCTCCTTTCGTTCCCACTGCTGCAGCTGCCGCTGGGGGGAGGGTGTGAGGGTGTGGGGGAGCCAGGGGAGTGGCATTGGGGTGGCGGGTGTGAGACCAACCAGCCCCCGTCCCTCTGAGGTGGGGGGGGGGGGGGGGGGGGGGGAGGAGAGTAAAGGGGTAGCAGGAGTGCCTGCCCCTTTGCTGCTGTCCCTGCTTTGTTACCTTGCCTGCTGTAACTGTTTTCTCTGTTCGTGGTGTACCCATCCAGGATGTGTCGCTGCACAGACTCCTGCTGCAGGCAGTTATGGGGGAGTGTTAGAATATATCTGTAACTGCCTGTAACTGTAGTTAGTGTAGTTATTATAAACTTGTTGGTGGTGCACCTTCTTTGCATCCTATGTTTGCTATATGTACCCTAGTGCTATAGTGAACTTCATTCTCGTCTCTCTCTCCTTGGCACAAACCACCTCGACTCCCCTTGGCCTAGGCTACTAAGCCTAGGCCCTATTCTTGCTATTTCAACAGGAAGCAGCCGCGGATTGACGCGCATCCGTTCGCCAAGGATGACGAGACGACCCGCGTCATCGCCCTCCTGAACTCCCTTCACTTCACCACCCAGGACCATCTGCCGATGGAGACGTGGGTGCGCCTCGTTCGGTACATGGCTCAGAACGAGGTCCGCGGATTTTCGAAAAAGGGATACGGCACTTATTACACCACGTAAGTGCTTTCGGGCGCATGCACTGTAAAGCCTGTTATGTTAACGACCACATAACCCTAACTAATTTTTCCTATGTCTTTGCAGTTACGGATTCGGGGAACTCACACAGGCACTGTTAGCTGTGGCGGGAGGGGCGAGAGAGGCTCCAGACGTGTGGTTAAACAACGAAACGTTGTCTCTAGAATCGCTCAGTAGGTACAGCTGTAAGTCGTCTAGCCATGTATCGAACTGGATCGGACGGCCTTCATGATCGAAGGTGAGAACACTGAGAGAAGCCATAGCAGGCAGAGCAGGGTGCCGCGCGACCAGCAGGGCAGCACGCAGGCAGGGCAGCGCGCGAGCAATAGGTAAGCGCGCTGGGCAGGGTGGGGCAGCGCACGGCTAGGGAAGAGCGGCGCGCGGCTAGGGCAGGGCAGGGCGGCGCGTGGGCAGGGCAGAGTGGTGCGGCTGCCAGCAGGGCGGCGCGCGGGCAGCAGGGCGGCGCACACCAGGGCGGGCAGCAGCAAGGCGGCGCGGGTAGGGCGGTGCGGGCAGCGGTGCGGCTGCCAGCAGGGCGGCGCGCGGGCAGCAGGGCGCCGGCCAGTAGGGCTGCGAGCAGCAGGGCGGGCAGCAGCAGGGCGGCGCGAGCAGCAGGGCGGCGCGCAGCAGGGCGGTGCGGACAGCAGGGAGGCTAAGCGCGGGGTGGGCAGGGCGGCTCAGCGCCGGCCAGCAGGGCTGCGCGCAGCAGGGCGGGCAGCAGCAGGGCGGAACACGAGCTGCAAAGGACGGCGCGCGGGCTGCAAAGGGCGGCGCGCGGGCTGCAAAGTGCGGCGCGCAGGCTGCAAAGGGCGGCGCGGCGGCCAGCAGGGTGGCGCCAGGGCCTCAGATTGCAGGAATTTTACCCTGATTTCCTGAAGTTTGACCCCAATTTTTTAAAATGACCCTGATCAATCAGCCTTTCTTGTTTTACAACCCTGATGAATCAGTGTTTTTTGTTTTCAAAGACTGATTTTCCAGTGTTTCCTGTTTCATGACACTGACGAGTCAGTGTTGTATCGGAGACGACCCTGAAACCGAAAACTCCGAGATTCTCGCAGTTTTGCGCGCTGTCATCATGCCTGTACCCACCCTGCACCGACGCAACCCTGCGGCTCGCCCAGATACAGCTGAACGGGGTAATTTCGGGCACTTTTGGCAAAACGGCGCAAAGAGATTGGCTGTCCCAGCTGATGCAATGTACCGTTGTCACTGTGGATAACCAACACTTGTCATTTCTGACCATTGATGCGCACAAACACACCTAGTGGCTCAGTGGGCTAGTGGTCGCTCTTGTCCTTTTCACCAAGGCAGGGAGTTCTGGGGCAGTCCGCCCAGCCACCCCACGCAGGAGTCTCGTGATTCTGTCATTCGAGCTCTCCAGACTCCACCATCCCTTACAGAAACATCCATCTCTGCAGTCTCCCTGAAGCCTGCTCGGCAGGCTCTCTCTCTCCCAGGGTTTCTAGATACTACTCTGCGATTCAGGAAGGGATAGTGAACGCGCCATGGCGATCACCTGTGAGAACAGCAGCGGTGATGATGACGACGATGCCCTCTACCCCGCCACCGAGATGTTGGAGGCCAGAACGGGTCTAGACTTTCTAGTCTCCGCGCTCTCCCATGAAAAAGAGAAGCAAGCTCCTCTCAGTTCAGGAGCATACACTGGTGAAGCGTCTGACCTCTCCCGCAGAGACGATCGCTTCCAGCCCGCGCATACTGCCAAGCCAGCCGTGGCATCAGCAGCTGGCCCGAGCGTCCGCTTGCCATCTCGTGCCTCGTCTTCGAAGCCTCCGCCTCGTTACAAGCAGGCCGTGCTCCGCTGGGCCGATCCAACCGCTCCTGCCCGTCCTCTCGCTGATGCCGGCGAGTCGGTAAACCCCGTTTCGGCCACTCCATCCAACTCTCAAAAGCCGTCACTAACCACTCTGATTTACGAGGATGCGTTGGACTCGTTCAAGTCCACGTGGTCGTCAGACTACCCATGGCTCATACTCATCAAAAACACTTCTGGTCTGTCTGCGTTCAAGTGCAGATTGTGCATAGACTTTGCAGGTGATGGTGGCAAGTGTGGCAAGAGTGGGCACGGTGCAACCGATCTTCAGACCCAGGCCTTCAAGCGGCATGCCGCGACGAACAAGCACCAGTTGGCCATCGAGCACCAGAAGAAGATGCTAGCTCAGGCTGGGAAGTGTTAGAATATATCTGTAACTGCCTGTAACTGTAGTTAGTGTAGTTATTATAAACTTGTTGGTGGTGCACCTTCTTTGCATCCTATGTTTGCTATATGTACCCTAGTGCTATAGTGAATTTCATTCTCGTCTCTCTCTCCTTGGCACAAACCACCTCGACTCCCCTTGGCCTAGGCTACTAAGCCTAGGCCCTATTCTTACTATTTCAACATGGTATTCAGAGCAGGCACCTTCCTGCTGCCTTCCTTAACGGGCCCACCAGTCTGCTTCCGCTGTATGTCGTCCTGTCGCGCGCCTCGGGCGCGCGGCGATTTTCTGCCCGCCGTGTGCTCGGGGCGCACGGCGGTTTTCTGCCTGCCTGCTTGCCTGCCTGCCTGCCCGTCGTGCGCCCCGTGGCGCGCGACGGTGCCCTGCCCGTCGTGCGCCCCGTGGCGTGCGGCGGGTTCGTCGCCTGTCGCGGCACACAGGGGGCCCGCGCACCCCCCCCCCCCCCCTTTTCCCGTCGCCCGCCGCGACGCCCTGGGGGGCCGCGCGTCGCCCCCTTCTGCCGCCTGTTCCGGCGCCCAGGGGGGGTCGCGCGTCGGAGCAGCCGCCCCTGGTGCAGCCGCCCCTGGACCTCAGCAGCCGCGCGTCAGAGCAGCCGCCCCTGGAGCAGCCGCCCCTGGTGCAGCCGCCCCTGGACCTCAGCAGCCGCCCCTGGCCCCTGGAGTAGCCGCCCCTGGTGCAGCCGCCCCTGGACCCCGCGACGCCGCCCCTGGACCCCACGGTGCCGACCCTGCAGCTGCATGCGACGCCGTTCCTGGACCCTGTGCTGCCCATTGCCGCCCGTTGCTGCCCGTGCCTGTGCTGCCCATTGCTGCTCTCCCCCCCCCCTCCCCCCCTTCTTCGTCTCCCTGCTGCGCGTGCAGCCGTGGAACGGAGGGTCTGGGGGTGGCGGGTATGGGGGTGATGGGTGGTATGTTTCCCTTCCCCTCCTCCTCCTTTCGTTCCCACTGCTGCAGCTGCCGCTGGGGGGAGGGTGTGAGGGTGTGGGGGAGCCAGGGGAGTGGCATTGGGGTGGCGGGTGTGAGACCAACCAGCCCCCGTCCCTCTGAGGTGGGGGGGGGGGGGGGGGGGAGGAGAGTAAAGGGGTAGCAGGAGTGCCTGCCCCTTTGCTGCTGTCCCTGCTTTGTTACCTTGCCTGCTGTAACTGTTTTCTCTGTTCGTGGTGTACCCATCCAGGATGTGTCGCTGCACAGACTCCTGCTGCAGGCAGTTATGGGGGAGTGTTAGAATATATCTGTAACTGCCTGTAACTGTAGTTAGTGTAGTTATTATAAACTTGTTGGTGGTGCACCTTCTTTGCATCCTATGTTTGCTATATGTACCCTAGTGCTATAGTGAACTTCATTCTCGTCTCTCTCTCCTTGGCACAAACCACCTCGACTCCCCTTGGCCTAGGCTACTAAGCCTAGGCCCTATTCTTGCTATTTCAACAGGAAGCAGCCGCGGATTGACGCGCATCCGTTCGCCAAGGATGACGAGACGACCCGCGTCATCGCCCTCCTGAACTCCCTTCACTTCACCACCCAGGACCATCTGCCGATGGAGACGTGGGTGCGCCTCGTTCGGTACATGGCTCGGAACGAGGTCCGCGGATTTTCGAAAAAGGGATACGGCACTTATTACACCACGTAAGTGCTTTCGGGCGCATGCACTGTAAAGCCTGTTATGTTAACGACCACATAACCCTAACTAATTTTTCCTATGTCTTTGCAGTTACGGATTCGGGGAACTCACACAGGCGACGGCAGTGTGGCTGCAGACCACACAGCTGGAGCACATCCTAAGAAGCCATTACATCGGCCTCAGGTGTGACGAGTCTACGGACAGATGCCGTGAGAAGCATCTCATCATCTACGTAACATTCATCCGCGACGGGGCAGTAGTCACTGAGTTCTTCGCCCTGCTAACCGTGGACAGGGCAGACGCCGCATCGCTGGTGGGGTTGCTCCTATCCCATGTCAATGCCGTCGGCATTGACCTGCGCCGAATCACGGGCATCAGCACCGACGGGGCGAGCGTGATGGTCGGATCCAAAAACGGGCTGGTGGCGAGGCTGAGGACGCGCATACCGCATCTGGTTTCCTGCCACTGCATCGCACACAGGTATGATGGTTGATGCACTGTCCGTTGAGTTGTAGTTATTTGCACGTAGTTTCCTTCCTTCTACTTACCCAAATGCGTCTCTTGCTTGTTTTAATCGCAGGGAAGCGCTCGCGGCCAAGGACGCAGCAGAGTCCCTTCCGGAGTTTGGCATGGTCGACAGCTTCATCCGCTGGCTCTCCACCTACCTCGGCTCATCAGGACCCTGGCACCAGCGGTTCCTGGACCTGCAGGAAGTCTTCACTCAGACTAACCTGGAGCTCCAAGGAATCAATGATGTGCGTTGGCTCTCGCGCGGAGATGCAGTCTGCCGACTTCTTGCAGTCCTGTCGGGTGTCATCGTGATGGTGCACGAGCTGGGAAACAAGCCCATGTACAAGATGGTAACAAGCTACAGGTTCCAATTCATGCTGCGCTTCCTCGCTGACGTGCTGGAACAATTGAACGTGCTCAGCAAGACGTTCCAGCATCGACAGGTGAGATTCAGCTTTTGCCGTGATTCCATCAGCACTGCGCATCTTGTGTGCAAGCACCGGCCATGCAGATACTGGGTTAAGGGCCGCTGGCTCCTGTTAGTTCTGCATTGAGATTGAAAGTTGGCTGTGTTTTTTCTCCTGTTCTTGTGTGGCAAATTGACCTGCTTGCGGTTCAAGGCCAGATCCGTCGCACGACAACCCACATCAACAGCCGTTATGTGGATTGTGGCGACGACTTCGGAGGCGGCCTGAGCGAGAAGCTGTCGCCCTTCATTGCACGACATGGTCCGAACGGGGTGCGGAGAGTGGAGGTCGAGTGGGTTGACTCCGACGGACGCCCCACTTCTCACTGCTACGTCCTGCATGATTCCCCCCTTGAAGGCTACCCCATTGCAGGGACCCATGAGCGATGCGTGGACCAGTGCACGGCGATGGCGGAGTCCCTCGTGCATAACCTGGATGAGCGGCTAGGTTCTCTCGACAAGCTGAGCGGTGTGAAGCTGTTCATGCCCGACGAGTGGCCCCATGGACGGCAGGAGCGATCCATGGTCTGCACGGAGCACCTCGAGGCCCTGACGACGCTCTTCAAGGCCCAAGAGTGCGACGAGATCGTTCCAGGTACAAGCTGCCTTACGGTCTGTGCATCGTTGTTTGTGCTGCTCGGTTGTGTAGCACCTAAACCCTGGCACCACTTGTGTGCAGAGCCTTGCTTACGTTGTTTATTTCCTTGTGCATGCGCACTCTCGGACTCCAGGTGTCAACAAGAAGAAGGCGTTCAAGGAGCTCCGCTCGTTCCGCACGGTTCTCGCTGGAGCTCCGAAGTCCGAGAGGAAGTTCTACCCGGGTCTCTCGGCGATGCTGAGGTCTCCCGACTGGGAGGACGCATACCCCAACCTGGTGAAGCTGTGGATGGCTGTCGCTGTGTTACCGTTGAGCACAGTCGAGTGCGAGCGGGGGTTCTTGCGTCAAAACATCATCAAGAGCTGGCTGAGGGGTGCCATCAAGGATGCGCGGCTGTCGGACCTCATGTGCATGGCCTTGCTGCCGTACGAGCCCGACTGGGTGGAGGTGGTGAAGATCTGGAGGGCGTACAAGAAGCGCAAGCCCATCAATACAGTGGCAGCACCAAAGAAGCAACCTAGTGCTAAGGGGAAAGAGAAGGTGGACGAGGATGATGCTGGTGGTGCTGGATCTGGGTGGGAGACAGAGACTCCCATGCACGTGTCTATGAGCGAGCCCGCTAGTGACGATGATGATGAAGACATGTGATGTGAAGTGTGTGTGCGATGTGCGCCAAATGGTCTGTGCTGTGTGCTGCAGTAGATAGAGTAGAAGTTCATTAGAACAGTATTCTGATTTAACTTATTATAGTTGTTAGTGGTTGTGGATTCCAAGCGTCAGTGTTTTTTTATGACTCACGCTGTTTAATCAGTGTTTTTTTTTTTTACAACACTGACAAATCAGTGTTTCCCCACGGGCAACCCTGATGATCAGTGTTACAGCCCCAGGGGTCCCTGAGTGCTCAGGGTCACCCAAAACGAATCTGAGGCCCTGGGTGGCGCGCGGGCAAGGCAGGGCGGCGCGGCAGCCAGCAGGGCAGCGCGCGGCAGGCAGGTCAGGGCGGCGCGCGACTGGCAGGGCGGCGCGACAGGCAGGGCAGGGCAGCGCGACTAGTGGGGCAGCGCTATTCGGTGGGCCCTAAAAAAAAAAGGGTCCTAGAACAGGATATGCTATGAAACCATGTCAGAATACTGAACGAGAATGAATGAACTATGAATGAGTTGGGTACAAGTACTAGCCCTAATTGGGTTGTACCCCTTATGGGCTACCCCCCACTACAACCTACACAATGTAAACACCATAACATTTTGACAACTTTCTCCTGCGAGAGTTGCAGCGACGCGGCCAGGTACGCTTGATCTTCATGGCCTCAGAGGCCAACACTGCAGACATCTTTACCAAGGCCCTAGCGCCTAGTGACCACAAGTTCTGTCTGCAGTTACCGTAGGCCTTGTTGACGCTGGTGCTAGGTTGTTGTAGCATTATTTCTTGTTGGTTGCTCTGCTTGTCCTTGCATCTACCGTAAGCCCCCGGATAGAAGCGCATGCCTCGGATAAGCGCCGACGCTTATAAAAGGATGACAACGCTTATATCCAGTCCTCGATTATAAGCCCACCCCCTAAAAAAATATGATTTATTATATGCGCATGTTGGTTTTTCATTTGAAAACCTGACGAAATACAGAAACAAATTTCACATTATCAGGGAAACGAACTACAAATTCGATTTCCCACACTCTGATCTCACTTTTTGCGTGTCTAGTCAGCATGTGCTGTCCTTCTGTCAGTTTGAGTTGGCAGGGAATCACTCCCTGCCAAGCTGCGCGAGAATCAGATTCGCGACCCTATATGTTTTCGACTCGATTAGAATCGGCAGAACGAGACCTACAGTTTGGCATAAAACAGATAGAAATTCCTTTTGCCATTTTATAAACGCCGGCGCTTATAAAATTCCTCGATTATAAGCGCACCCCCTAAAAAACAGTGTTTTTTTATAACCCCCAGGGGCGCTTCTATCCGGAGGCTGACGGTACCGTATATATATTTGTAAATTATTGAACTAGCCTTGTGACCGTTTGCTTGTGCTCGGAATGTGGTGATCTTGAGATCCACCTTGAACGTTGTCTTGTAGCTTCTCTTGACTGGACTTGTGACCATGTGTGTTTATTGCTCTCTCTTGCTAGCTATCCCTCACTTAGCCTATGGGGGTGTGTCAAACATATATATTTGTATGTTCTAGGCTGTAGTGATGCATGCATTAGAGAGTATACGTTGTTAGTGTTTGCATTTGTCTACCATTCCGTGAGGTGCAAACTGTATTGTAGACTTCATCACTTCACTCCTCTGGAAGAGCAGGAATAGGTGTTTGTCAGAATCGTAACTAGCAGTACAAGATTCGCACACAACACTACCAATTTCTAACGCTTTGAGACAAGCATTCGCACATTGTCACGAGCATGTCTCAAGTGCGCATAGTTTCAAAACACACCTACACTGATAGAAAACGAACGCTGCCGCGCGTGGCAACCACGCAGGGCTAAGCCAGGCGCCAGGAACGCGTAACCAACGTTGTCCTTATCAGTTACACTCCGGTCAAAACGTTTCGTTTTCCAGCTTCGCCTTTGTTCGCAGCGAGCCAGCGGCGGGAGTGCGGCTCGCGCCGATAAGCGCAGTCTCGAGACTCGCCGCCTTTTCCGCGGCGAGAGCCATGGCTTCGAGCTGCTTCTGTTTCTTCGAGCGCCTCCACCACCAGACGAGCAGCACAATCAGAGCTATGAATATCAATGCTCCTACCACGACCGCGATATATACGGCAGCACTCGTGCCGCTGCTGCTGCTGCTGCTGCTGCTGCTGCTGCTTCCGCTGCTGGTCGGGGTGCTGGCGGTACTTGCGCCGCTAGCGGCGTTGGCGGAGCTGCTGCTGTTTCCGGGGACGGTTGTGTTGGGGCTGGCGGGGGGAGCTGTCGGCGCTGGAGGCGGGGGAAGGGGCCTTTCAGGAGATGGGGGCGGAACAGAGGGGGGAGCGGTTGGTGCAGGCTCGGGCGCAGGTGTGGGAGCAGGTGTGGGAGCAGGTTCGGGCGCAGGTGTGGGCGCAGGCATGGGCGCAGGTGTGGGAGGAGGTGTTGGTAGAAGGGGAACGGAGGGGCCTGACGCGAGCGTAAACTCCGCAAGTGTGGAGCTCTTGCAGGTGATCGTTTTCGTGGCGGCGTTGGCAGTAGTGATCAGGTACTTAGGCCCTCCAGCGGCACTAAACACCGCACATTGCGGCGGAAACTTCGGATCCGTGACTGGGGCCGGGAACGTGATTACAATGGGTGACCCTGCCGGCGCCGTCACTTGTAACGTCTTGCCGAAAGCAGCGCCTGGTGTTGCGACAGGAGGATACGCGACAATATCGAGGCCCGTAAAAAATGGCATGAACTCGATCCCGTCGTCTGCAGGTTTGAATGGCGCCGTGTCGTTCGGCAGCGTGTTGTAAACCAGTGCGACCTGCTTCGCCGTGGTGTCAATTGCGAGACCTGGAGGCAGGGCGAACTCGTGAAACTTGTAACCCTTCGCGACGAGGAACGCGCGGTCTAGAACTATCACTTGGGAGGTCATGTTGGAAAACGGGGTCGGCGGCAGCGCGACGATTTTCCCTGGAAGGGTCTTTTGCAGTTGATGCATGGCGAGTTGGTGTAGAACCCCCTCGTAAATCTTGAGCCGCGTTAGTTCGATGTCGCTTAAAACGGGGATCGGTGTTATCGCTGCAGCGCTCGTTGCCTGGGCCTGGTACGGTAGGAAGGTCGAGATGAGGAGTAATGAGAGGACGAGGGCAGCCATGGCTGGTCTCCTGGGCGAAGATGCTGCTTGAAACATTGCTGATGCGTTACGGAGCTGTTACGCAATGACTAGAGTCTAAACCCAGAAAATCTTCAGCATACAAAAAGCAACCACCAGTTGTTGAGACGAAGTTCGTGGGTTGGGGTTCAGGACCAAGTGAGCGAGTTTGTGTGGTGAAGGGAGGAAATGCGGGATGAACAGCAGGAATGGCGCAAATGTGAGGAAATTAGGCATGGGTGGAGGGGAAGCATAGTGATGGGAGAGGGCGAAATTCTCGTGTGGGAACGAGCACCGAATCGCGGAAGGGTGGAATGCACGAATGTTGATGGAAATGCCGAGTCGCTTTCTCGTAGGACCCGCGAAGTCTGGGGTGGGTGAGGCGGGAAATGGCAATCAAATGAGTGTTCCGCGATGTGCGGTACGTTGTTAGCCAAAAAGTGCAACCGAAAAACATGAAACGTACGCGCTATTCTGTAAGAATTTAGGTTGCTTCAGTGGCCATTCCCCAAAGCATAGCTACGGGAGTGTACAGCTATCGTGTTTCTTGAGGTAAAAGAGTGAGTTAAGGTGTATATTGGCAACTTCTCCTTCACATATCCTATGGAGAAAAACAGCGTGACTTGTTAATGTGTACACAATCAAATGCGCACGGTTAACCCTTCAGGCGTTCAGATATGTCCTTGTCGTCCCCATCGGCTTTCGTACCAAACGCCATCTCATCAAGGCTCTGGCCCAGGCGCTTGTACTTTCCTCCGGCCTCAACAAACGCGGGACACGGCCGATACACCTTCACCGGGAACCACTGAAAGCCTGGGAGTGCACCGACGCCGCCCTGAAAGGCAACAGGTTACATGATACAACAGAGACAGCATGGCACGAACAAGGTATGAAGATCTGCCAACATCGTTTTTTCCATCATATGCCATCAATAAGCAGTATCACATAGGAGATTATTTGAGGGGTTAAATGACCCAAAGAGGCATGAGATTTATGCCCGTCGCCAAAGCAAGGAGACAAGGCACGAAGCGACAGTAGGATCGGAGGAGGCAGGCACGGTCCTCACCTGAATACGACCTTCCCCATTGCAGCCTCCCACCCTCTCTGTCCGGCCACACGCCTTGCACGCGTCTCCAGAGACCCTGCTCTCACTGCTACCTGCAGTGTTGGTTGGCATAACAAAGAAGTTTTGGCTCAGCTTAAAAGGGGAAGAATTGACAGTCTTGGTCAGCATTTAAGGAGCCATGCTCTGTACCAGAGCGGAGGGCAAGCAAGCAGGATCGGAAACACAGAATAGTTGACCAAACTAGGATTGCGATCATTCGGTAGGAGATTTTCATTTACCAACGCAGTATGAACTCAAAGGAAGATAGAGGTAAGACAGGCCGAACATTAGTACGACAACACCTACACACACTTAACAGCAACAGGTGGTTACCATTACGGGTGGTTACCAGCAGCGACAACTGGTCACCAGCAAGGCAGGCAGTTACAAGCAAACACAGGTGGTTACCAGCAGGAGCAGGAGGCGTGTCCGTGGCTGTGGAGGCCTGGTTGCCTTCAGGCGAGGCGTCAGCTCGTGTCACGGGCAACTGGGGAGAGGCACGAGCAGGAGAAGGGTTGGGAGCAGTGTGAGTGTGCGTGCGTGAGTGTGCGTGCGTGTGTGTGTGTGCGTGAGTGTGCGTGCGTGTGTGTGTGTGGGTGTGAGCGCGCGCGCGCGCGTGTCCGTGGCAGTGGAGGCCTGGTTGCCTTCAGGCGAGGCTGCAACTCGCGTCACGGGCAACTGGGGAAAGGCACGAGGAGGAAAGGGTTTGGGAGCAGTGTGTGTGTGTGTGTATGTGTGTGTGTGTGTGTGTGTGTGTGTGTGTGTGTGAGCGCGCGCGCGCGTGCGCATGTGTGGGTGCGGGCGTGCGTGAGTGCATGCGTGCGTGCGTGTATGTGGGTGTGTGTGCACAGATCTTCTTCAGTAACAAGACGACACATTGGGGACACGGAGAATGAGGAGTGAGGGATAGAGGCGGGATGCGAGGGAAGGGGTGGCAGCAGAGTGAGATGGAGGCAATGCAGGAGCAATGTGACTGTAAAGAAATGCCACTCTGCAGGAGCAGAGTGGCTTGCAGCTGCGAGTGAAACCGCACTGGCGACAGACAATGCAGGTGCGACTCACCCGGCGGTAGGGTTGTCGTTGTCGCGAGACGCCAAGCTGCTCCCTGCTGGGCTGCACTGCCTGGGACAGCAGGACGCGGGAATTTCGAAAACCGAAAGACGAATTCAAGAAAGTGGTCGAATCGGAACGACAGAAACGACAGGAACGATACGGAAGGGAGTGGGCGAGAGAACGGCGGAGCACGGGAAGGAATGGCGTCGAACAGGGGTTGCGGAATCGGAGAAGCGATAGAGTGGCATGGGAATTCTGAACGCGAAAGCAGTACAGCGACACGAAATGGCTGAAGCGACTCACCAGAGAGACTGCGCCCAGGGAAACGCAGGAGGACGCGAGAGCCGCCATGGCTACGCGATAAGGAAGCGGTGGTGCTTGGTGTGTGCACTCCTTTTCTTCAGGTGAATGGATAAGGCGATTGGAGGGACGTCCGCCACAAGCCTCAGAAGGATTGGAGCGACGATCGCGACGACTGCGATGATCGCAGCGAAATGGAATACGATTCACTGGGTGGGTCGCCAAGGATGTGCGACGCTCAAGGGTCGAACGTGGTTACCAGCAATATGTCGGGCCAGATTTTGCAACATCCTCTAACCATAGAAAATGCACAGCTCAGGCAAAAACATTAATGAGCACCTACGGTACAACTATTTATATACATGGTTAGACCATGCTATTTGCACAAGTGCATCACACACATATTAGGCACACAAAAGGTAATTCCCTAGCGTGGAACACTGAATTCACACCTTGGTTACCCACTCAAGGCTACACCCTACACCACTATGTTTAGCATCAGCAGCACCTGTCCATTTCCATTTGAATACTGGAGTCAAGGAAACTGTACCTATAAACACTCTGGGAACCCCCCCCACGCATTCCACCAATCCCTGTCAACACGCCACATCAGCACCCAATGGCCCGTCAAACAGCAACTCTGAAAACTCTTCCGGGGAGAAATCATCGGCCAATGGGAGATGGTCTGGTAGCAGCTCCCCCTCCCCCTCGTCCCCATGGCTGTTGCTGCCGTCCCCTTGCTCCTGTGGGCCACACGAGAGGAGTGGAGAGCACACGACATGAGGCAAGGAGCGCACACAGCAGGGGGCAAAACACATGTGGGGCCCTTGTCTAGGGCAGAAGGAGAGAACATGTTAACCCTGGGGTGCTGGTAGGAGAAGCACAAGCAACCCTCAACCTTCCTCATCCCCACTCTCTCTCACACACCTCCCCTCACCCTTCCATCACCCCTTACCCTCCCCCAACCCCTCAACTTTCCCCATCCCTCCCCTCCTCTCTGCTGCAGCCTTTCTCACTCTAGTTGCCCTCCTTCCCACTCCCTTCCCACCTCGACCACCCTCCACTACCCTTCTCTCACCTCCGTTCTGCACACCCCCCTTCTCTCCCACCTCGTCACCCCCCTTCTCTCCCACCTCATCACCCCCCTTCTCTCCCACCTCGTCACCCCCCTTCTCTCCCACCTCGCCACTCCCCTCTCGCCATGCAATCGTCGCAAGTGACACACGCACAATACCCGGCCCCTCTTTCCCCCTTCTTGCTCTCCACCCGTTGTATCACCATGCCATCATTGCGGGTGCTTCTCAAGGCGACTCACCTCAAAGCAGGCTCCAAAACCATACCTCCCTGCCTTCAAGAAGGTCCCACCGCCACACATCTTCCCCCCATTCCCCCCCTGCGTCTCACCATGTCATCATTGCGGGCGAATACTGAAGCACATAAAAAGAGGTCTGACCACCACGCATCTTTCCCCCCATTCTTTCCTCCCCCCCCCCCTTGCGTCTCACCATGTCATCATTGCGGGCGAATCTGCCGCGCACGCGCGGGCGGCTGTCTGCCAGAGTCTTGCGGCACACGTACTGGAGGAGGTGGGGGGAGGGCGGGGGGAGGGTGGAGGGAGGGTGGGGGAAGATGAGGGGCGGAGGGGAAAGGGCACTCAGGGTGCCTTGTGAGTCGACTCAAAGGCAGCTGTTTGTGAGAGTTTTGTGGCACACGTACTGGAGGAGGTGGGGGGAGGGGATGAGGGGGAGATGAGGTGTGTGCATGGAGGGTGCAGGGAGGAAGGGGCGCAGAGAGGTGCCTTGTGAGTCGACTCAAAGGCAACTGTCTGCCAGGGTTTAGGGGATACTGGGAGGGAGGATGATGGGTGAGGAGGGTGAGGAGGGGGAACGGAGTTTTGGGTTGGGAGGGGTGAGGGTTTAGAGAAACTTGTTGAGGGGAATGGGTGAGGGGGGAGGGAAGACGGGAGAGGGGAGGGGAAAATGTGATATCGAAATAGGGGAGGGGAGAGGGAAAAAGAGAGTGGGAAAAGGGAGAAGAGAGAGGGAAAAAGGGGGAGGGGAAAAGGGAGAGGGGAAAAGGGAGAGGGGTTGGGCGAGATGAGTGAAGGGCCACTTTAGAGGAATCTCAAAAGGGGTGAGGGTGCACAGGGGGTGTGGATGAGGGCAGGGAGGGCACGCCCACTTACTGAAGGAGGGTTGAGGGATGAGCACACACACACACACACAACCACACACACACACACACACACACACACACACACACACACACACACACGAGCCCAAACACACAGAGCTGCCCACCAGCTGGCGACCTTGATCCTAGTGAAGCTCGTTCGTGCCTCCTCTGCCGGTACCGTGAGATGCGCTGCTGCCATTTCACCCTCTTACATTCATTCACACACATGAGCACCCAACCCCGCGCACACAGGCCTCCCCACATGCATGCACCCACCTTGATCTTCTTGGTGTAGTTGCGTTCGTGCCGCTTCTGCCGGTAGCGGGAGATGCGCTGCTGGCGCTCCTCCAGGGTGTAGCGCCCCACGCGGAACACAGCAGAGCCGTCATCCGCCGCGGGGAAGGGCAGCCCAGCCATGGCGCTCAGAGACTGCAGCATGAGAGGAGAAGGGATGGGAAGGGGCGTGAAGGGATTCAAATGCTTTGAAAGTCAAGTCTTAGCCGGTAGCAGGGGATGCTGCTGTTGGCGCTGCTCCAGGATGTAGCGCCCCGCACCCGAAACAACCACAGGTATCATCCCATCCGCCATGCCACCGCCCCCCACGGGGAAGGGCAGCCCGACATGGCACTCAGGGACTGTGGGATGAGGCGAGGAGGGAGGAAGGAGGGAGGGCCAATCACAGGATTGAAGTGAGATGCAAGTAGTCCATGGAAGGGCAGCCATTGCAAGTAGTCCATGGAAGGGCAGCCATTGCAAGTAGTCCATGGAAGGGCAGCCATTGCAAGTAGTCCATGGAAGGGCAGCCATTGCAAGTAGTCCATGGAAGGGCAGCCATTGCAAGTAGTCCATGGAAGGGCAGTCATTGCATGGCACTTACGGATTGCGGCAGGAGGACGGGAAGGGTGGGGAAGGGAAGGGAAGCTGGACAATGTCAGGAGTGGGAAGTGAAGGAGAGAGGAAGGGGAGGAGGGGAAAGAGAGCGCAAGAAGAGAGATGGCCTCTCAAGTGTGAGAGAAGAGTTGAGATGTGATGCAAGTGTTTGGGTTTGGTGTACCTTCACTTCACATTACCCTTCTTGCTCCTTGCCATATGTCATTGCTGGTCAAGCATATCAATTTGATTCATTGATGAACCAATCTACTCTATGGATTGTGAAAATTACTCCTAAAATAAACAGCACCATGCCCTTTTTGTTATTCTGCTTCGTGCCCTTCTTTTCTACAGGATCCTAAAGCATGAAAAGGTGTACGTGACTGTATTCATCCGAGGTGTTCATCCGAGCCAAGCTCACCTGGATGTCGCCTGTGCTCTGCACTCTCCGCATTCCGCCCAGCGATGGAAGCCGCGGGGGAGTCAATCCCCCCATCGCGCCCATCTCTCCGCCCCCTTCCATCCCCATCATCCCTCGCACATCTGCTCCCGCGCCCCCACCTCCGCGCATTTGCCCCATCGTCGCGGCTCCCCCCGCCTGGCCCCCCCTGATTCCGCCCATTCCGCCGGGTCGAGCGCCCATCCCCGCTCCCCCTGACTCCCCCAGAGATGCTTCCCGCTTCGCCCCGCTCTCCCACCCCGCGCCCATGCCTGCGCCCTCGCTTCCCCTCCCCACAATCCCCCGCTGCTTGCTGCTGCTTCCGCCGGCGAACTCCCCACGCGGGGAAACAGGGGGGATCTGCGGAGGACCCATGCCCTTGGGGGAAGCTAACGGCGCCCCTCCCGCGCTGCTACCCGCTGGCCCTGCGCGCCCGCCCCCGCCTCCGCCTGCCGCGGCAGCTGCGAGCACCTGCCTGTGCAGCTGCCCTAGAGAGTGACTGCTGTGGCTTCGGGGCATCATTCCCCGCCGCTGCAACAGGCGCTGCCGCAGCAGCATCTGCTGCTGCTGCTGCTGAAGGTGAATCGACGGCAGAGGCTTCAGCTCGTCTTCTTCCCCCTCCTCTTCCCCCAATTCAGCCGCTTCTCCCGCTCTTCCGCGCGTCCCCGCGCCGTCTCCCCCGCTCCCGTCCTCCTCGCTCCCTGAGTTTCCGCTGCTGCCATCGCCAGTCCCCGCGCCCATCCCCAGCTTTCTCCGCGCGCCCATCCCTCCGCCCATACCTATACCTGCGCTTCCCGCGCCCCCCGCGCCCGCCCATCGCTCCCCCTCGGCGCCTCCGCCTGCGCGGCTGTGGTGCGACAGCTGCCCCATGGAAGCCACGCGCCGCATCTTCGACGGCGTTATTCCCGCCGCCATTCCCGGCGCGCCCCCCGCCGCCGCCACCGCAGCAGAAGACCCGAAGCCCGAAGCTCCTGATGCCGAACCTGACGCGGCCTGCATCCGCGGCACCGCCGAGGCTGAGCTCACGCTCATCCGAGCCGCAGCCTGCAACCCACCCAAGCCTTCGTGGTAGCTTCGGCGACGGGGAAGGCTCGGCGCGAAGCTGCTGCCACTGGGGGCACCAGGGCGCGGGCGAGGGGACTTAGACGGACTAAAGGATTCGCTTTTAATGGGGAGAATATCCCCCCCCGCGCGACCAAAACCCGACCTGGCACTAACGGGCTCCGCCTTGACTCTCCCCGCGCCCCCCCCGCCCGCCCTACTCGCGCCGCTCATTGCGGGAACGGGGGTGCCTAAAGCGGGGGCAGCGCCGCCCGGGAAACCCGGAGGCGGCATCATGCCTGGGAACATGAAGGGCGGCGGAAGGCCGGGGAGGGCGGGAAGGGACGGCGCGTGGGATGCGGCGGGCATGGGGGAATCGTCGTCCGCGGGTATGGCGGAGGAGGAGGTGTTTCCGGATTTTTGCGACTGTTGCTGCTGCTGCTGCTGCTGCTGCTGTTGCGCATGCTGCATGTGCATGTGTTGCATGTGCATGTGCATGTGCATCTGCTGCATGTGCTGCTGCATGGCGTATGGATGCCCATGCGGGTACATCATCCCATTAGGCATTGCGCCAGGGGGCATCCCCGGGGACATTGCGCCGGGCATGGGCGGAGGCATCCCCGCAGGCATCATCCCCGGTGGCGGCATGGGGAACGGGTGCGCGGACATGGGGTGGCCCTGCGCGGGGTGGCCGGGCATGGGGTGGCCTTGCATCGCGGCCATGTGCATTGCCTGCGCCGCCGCCATCGCGTGGTGCTGCGCCATCGCCGCCGCCGCCGCGGCAGGCGGCATCCCCCCCGGCATCCCCCCCCACATCCCCCCCGGCATTCCCCCGGGCATCCCCATGGCCCCCATCCCTGCGCCATGTTGCCCCCCCATCGCGCCTCCGTGCCCCATCCCCCTGCTCGTTGCGCCGTTCACCGCCGCTCCCCCCGCCGCGTCCGCCGCGCCAGTGGCTCTCCCCGCGCCCTTGTGTTTCTGCGCGGGCCGCGTCCGCGACACCGTGGGGCTGAACACCTGGCTGTGCCCGAACGACGACGACGGCGGAGAACCCGGCCCATCCGCCGCATGCGCGGTGTCCCCCACCACCCCCATGCCCTGCGTCTGCGCCTGCGCCTGCGCCTCCTCCGCCTCCGCCCCCGCATGCTTTTGCGCAAACCCCTGCGCGTGCGCGTGCCCGTGCCTGTGCGCGTATTGGCGCATGCGGGAGGGGGAGGGCGGAGAGGAGCTCATTGAGAAGCTACAGTCCGACCCTTCCGGAGAACCCGCGTCCCCCGCTGCTCCCCCCGCCGTTCTCCCCGCACCAGCAGCTCCCATATCCCCCGCTTGTGGCGCAAAATTCCCCTGCGCGTTGCCCTCTCCCCCAGTACGCGCGCTTCCGCCCCCCCCGAGGCCTCCTCCGCGGTCCGCGCTCGGCTCTCCCTCCGACAACACGCAGTACGGCGCTAAGCTAACTTCAGCAATCTCGAATATCCCCCGCCGCTTCCCCCCCTCGGGCCTTCCGCTCCCCGCGCCTGCGCGCTCCTGGTTCCCCCGCGCTGCTTCGTCCGCTTGCGACGCTCCCGCCGCCCCCGTGTGCTGCGAGTGATGAGAAGGGTCTACCGTGGGCACTACTGCTGCGGCAGGCTCTGCTGCCTCTGGCACTGCTGCCGCTGGCGCTGCTGCTGCTGGTAGTCCGGCCGCAAAGGAGATGCTTGGGTCTGCTGGTTGGCGGACGGCACGCAGAGAAGGCAAACAGAAGACAGCAGGGCGGAAAACGTCGGCTTGAGGACGTCGGTAGGTATCTGACAGTGCTGTGACAAGTCGCGAGTCCTGACAAGGACCCGCGCGCGCTACAGAGTGGCCTGCACTGTTTTACCTTCCACGGACTCCGCGAAAGGTATATTTTTTTAGAATCCGCGGGAAGACATAAGAAGCTGTGCCAAGGGAAACCACGGAAACCTTGCTGCACTGCTACTTGGACGTGTTCTGAGGGGCCTTAATAGAACAAGATTATTACCGCACTGCGTGTCGGGCACAGCAGCGGCGAGCTGCGTGAAAATGTCGTCGTCATCGTCGCCGGGCGCGTCCCCCACGCCCATGTCCCGCGCCATGGCCATGGCCGCGCCGCCCAGCCCGAGCTTGTGCGCCGCGTCCAGGTTGTCTTGCGCCAATCCCATGTCGAACTCGATGCCCTGCCGTGAGAGAGTGGGGGAGACATTCGGGGAAACATTGGGGGAGTCAGTGGGGAGGCACTCTGAGGCTGTCCTGCGCCAGCCCCATGTCGAACTTGATGCGATAAGAGTGTTTCGTGAACTCTTATGCGAACAGCAACAAGAGCTTGGTGTGAAGCTTTCCTTACAAACAAAGTGGACTCTTCGACTCTCTTTCCCAAAATCGAAATGCTCGTGTGGTCAGGATGTTAAGCTTGAATTCAAGAGCTTTACCAGTGTCGCATCGGATGCAGTCACACTGCTTCAGGCAAGCGTGCCAGCTTGATCGAACTATCTGAACTCACATCAAAGTCCGTCATGCCGAATATCCCGTCGTCGAAGCCGCCATGGAAGTACGCGCCGTTGGTCGCGTCGGGTAACTCCGCCGTCATCGCGTCTGTCGCTGCCCTGCCGCCTGCTGGCACGGGAAGAAACACGCTCCCGTCCATTGCGGCCATACGGCAAACTAATATGTTCCGTTCCTGCTGTAGGAGCGTGAGTTCTCTCTGAAAAAAATATACCGATACTAGAATTTTGCAAGCCTATTAACTCACTCTTCTGGATGAACGAGAGACTAAGATTAGCACATGGCAAAAACGAAAACTGTGGAGCTAAGTACCGAACTCGCACCAGACGAAAATGAAAAGCACCAGACGGCCTCAAAAGGCGGACGAATTACCTGTCAAAGGATTCTGGGGCTGCTGGCGTACAAAGTACTGCTAGCCTAGTTGAGGATGAGGTGAGGATAAGGAGTCAAATCTTCAATGGCTGGCTGCACTGCACACGCCCACACAGCAGCAACACGAAACAGCTCGATTCTACCACATGTTACTGTGCTGTGGCTTCCATACCAGATTACGGACCATGAGTGAGTGCGGGGGAACCCCATCTCCCAGTCCCTGGCCACAAGCGTTTCGGAGATTCCAAGGTTGTGTCTCAAGTTCTGCATTCGCCTCCCTCAGAATGCTTCTGTTCTGCCCAAACCCCAATGTTCCCTACCGCAGCGCCAAACCACACCCCGCCAGCCTGAACCTTGTTGGTCCGAGCCGAAAAAGGAAGAGAACCGAGCCTCGTCGGAGTAAATACCACGCCGGGAAGATGAGGGGCCGTCCAGCTTCGGGGTCACTCACCCGTGCACTCCTGGTTCGTAACCAGACCTCCAGACCTGAGATGACGGTATGGGGGAGTGCCAAGATGGGAGAAACTGACCATGCCGAGCGAGATGAACCAGACTTTTCACCCACAAGGCCACAGCCAAAAATCTCCCTGTCCTTGCGAAAACAGTCATGATGGCAGTGGAGGTGCTGACTGGTTCCTTTTCTCACAGGAAGACGTGACCACAAGTGGCGATCAATGGAATTAATGTATCACTCAAGTAACGGGCAGAGGAAAAGTTCTTGGAGTCGGAAATTTAACCTGGAAACCTATTCGCTATAGGTGTAGAGTGCTTCGTTTCGGCCAGTTAGAAATCAACGTACCAGATCAGAGCGATACCTCTGATTCGTGACGTGGATATCACCAACGATGACCTGTCAGCTGATAAGGCAATCTCAACTCGAGAACTGTGGACCTCGAATCCGATATCTCGCGGCACAGCTTCCAGAATTCTGTGATTGCATTCCACCGTCCACCGACCCTATCGGAAGAATGGCAATTACTTTTTACCCGGAAATCGGCTATTTGATATTCCTCTGCCAGTGGGATCAACAAAATTTCATATACTTCATCCACAACTCGGGTAAAGTGTTGAGTATACACCATGCATGCATAGATCAGGGCCGCGGACCCGCTATCGCTGTCGCCATCTCTGCTAGTCCGGTGCGGGCGTTCCATATAAGTGGCGACAAGGGAGTGGGAGTTTCGCAAATCGAGTGATTATGCGCCTCTTCTTGCACGCAACCGGGGCGTGCAGTTCACCCCCCTGATCGTAGAGACGTGGGGGTGTCTGGGCGGTCGATTTCGGCGGTGGCTTCGACAGCAGGGGGACGCGCACTTGGGGCTAGCTGTGTCACGCGGGGCATGTCGGGAGGATAAAGTTGCGTTTTCAGCTTATCTGTTTGGGTCTTTGAAGGCGTTCATTGGGGTGGCGTTACAATGAGCTCAAGCCCGTGTCATCCTGCTTCGTGCGGCGTCTTCCATGGAGGGGAATGGACGTTGATTTGGTGGACAGGGAGGGGGACGACGTCGAGGTGGAGGGTGGGGTTCTCTGGGCGGAGGCCCCATACATGGTGGGTGTACGGATGTGAATAGGGGGGAGTGAAGTGGGGTGTGTGATAGCTGCAAGGTTTGGAATGGGATGGCAGCAAGGTTTGGAATGTGGTGGCAGCAAGGTTTGGAATGTGCTGGTAGCAATGTTTGGAATGAAAGAGCTAGTGATCAGCAATGGGGCATTCAACAAGGCATTCACGCTTGTAATACATAGGAAAGTATGATAAACGCATTAATAGCCATGTTACGATATGAAAAATGAGCAGGGCATTCTTGTATGCTGCAGGAGCCGACTCTACCAAGTACGAAGTCGAGGAGTCAGAAGAGTCGAAGCGATGGCAGCAACCGTCAGATCAAGACCGATGCAGGCAGATACATTTGAACTAGAAAGAGCGAGAACAGGTTTGAAACGGGTTCCCGTGCCGCACAGTTAAACTTCACTGTAATAAGGGAATGTACCCCTTAGAGTACATGGCTAGTCTAGGTCTTTTCGCATTCCATGTACTCTATTTATAAACTCGATGTATGCATGATTTTACTCATCTCAGTCAAATACATTAACTCTGACCTGAGGTCAATACTTCCGCTGCAACAACTCAACCTACGATCAGCCCTGAGACGATCCTTCGCTAAGTCCTCTTTCGGATTGTAACATGGCATGACAGCTACCCAGGGATTCTTCGCAACATCACTTCCGTAAAACTCGCCGAACCAAGATCTGGCGAGCGGCACACGCTCCAAGACCAAGATGGCCAGAGGATCCGTAGGCCAGACAAATCTGACGGCCGAAGGACAATCCAATCCGGTTGCGTCAAATGAGGCGACAACCACGATAAGCACAGCTGCACTCGAGCAATTGTTTTCGCGACTATCGACCATGGAGAAAGATCTCCAAGCACTGTGCAAAAGGCGACGCGGGAACCTCCTCGCAACCAGCACAATCTGCTCAACCGGCCACAAAAAGTCGTGATACCGCCGCGCACACCTTCTCCCTCGACGCAGACAAGTCAACACCAACAGCCCCCCGTCCGAGTGAAGAAGCCATCAATTGTGCGCAAACACGTTTTCTCAGTGTTTCAAAAGTCAAGACCACCACCGCGTTCAACGGCAATGACTTCTATACATGGAGTTTTGAGCTAGAGCTCCTCCTACAGACAACGCAGACCTACCATTACTTCGACGGCTTCTATCCTAAACCGGTGGAAGACACCAAAGACGCCAGGACTCAGTACTACAGTGAGTCACTTATGGCGTACGGCGTGCTGCTAAGGAACATGATGCCCGCAGAGCAACTCGGCATTCGCTCCTACAAAGAGAGCGCCGCTCCAGCCTTGGAAGCCCTGGAAGCACCTCGTCGGGATATATCAGCCGAAGGATTCAGTCACCTCCAGCAGGCTCCTGCAGCAACTCATGGAGACAAAGATGGGGAACGGGGAGAAAGCGAATTCATATATTAATCGTTGTCGGAACATTCGTGATCAAATCACAAAGCATGGGAGCGCAATCTTGGAGGTAATCTTCGTCAACATAGTCCTTCAGGGACTCGGGCCCGAGTGGAAGCCCTGCAAAGCGCTACTACGACAAAGGGAGGTAATTTCTGAATCTGCCTTGTGCGCCGCTCTCCTGACAAAACAGCAAGACATGGACTTAAGCCAGACAAACTCCGCGCCACGACGGAACCAACTCGCCTTCTACGCCGACAATAAAGAAGAGCGACAGAAACCGAGGCGCCACTACTGCAAAATATGCAAGATATTCGGACACTCAACAGACCGTTGCAGGTACCGGTTCAACAACCGCCCCTAGAATTCCACTCACCAAAACAACTGGGCTGGCCGACAAGCCGTAAAACCAAGCTCCGCGTCCACCTGCTCAACAACAATAGCTACAACAGACACAAACACTTCAGACCGGAGCTACCAGAAACGTGATCGCAAACATGGCATCAATGCGTTGCCCACGAGCTCCCTCGCCGGACGTAGAGGACGAGCCTATCGACAGATTAATTCAACCTGAGGAAGGTTGGAACAATCCCTTCACTGAAGATTACTACTACAACGACGAGGATGAGCAATGTCAGAACATTATAGCTTTTACATATATGTAGGCTATAGTGGGGTAGCCCATAAGGGGTACAACCCAATTATGGTTAGTACTTGTACCCAACTCTTTGCTAGTTCATTCATTCTCGTTCGTTATTTTGACATGTTTCAGAGCAGGTCCCTACTAGGACCAGTTTTTTTTTTTGCCCACCACCTGCTACCCTGCTAGCCACCCCCACGACCCGTCGCCTCTAGCTCGGCCCCTTGGCCCCGTCGCCCCTAGCCACGGCCCCTTGGCCACGTCGCCCCGTCGCCCTAGCCATGGCCCCTAGCGACCCGCGACCCGTCGCCCCTAGCCACGGCCCCTTGGCCCCGTCGCCTCTAGCCGCGGCCCCTTGGCCCCGTAGTCCCGTCGCCCCTAGCGACCCGTCGCCCCGTCGCCCTAGCCGCGACTCCTAGCCACGGCCCCTTGGCCCCGTCGCCCCTAACCGCGGCCCCTTGGCCCCGTCGCTCCGTCGCCCTAGCCATGGCCCCTAGCGACCCGTCGCCCCGTCGCCCAACTCGCGACCCGTTGCCCCGACGCCCCTAACCGCGGGCCCGTCGCCCCGTCGCCCCTAACCGCGGCCCCGTCTCACCGTCGCCCTAGCCTCGGCCCCTAGCGACCCGCGACCCGCGACCCAGGCCCCTCGGCCCCTAGGCCCCGTCGCCCAGTCGCCCCTAGCCGTGGCCCCGTCGCCCTGTCGCCCTAGCCTCGGCCCCTAGCGACCCGTGACCCATCGCCCCTAGCTGCAACCCCGTCGCCCTAGCCTCGGCCCCTAGCGACCTGCGACCCACGACCTGCGACCAGCGACCCGCGACCCAGGCCCCTCGGCTCCTAGGCCCCTAGGCCCCTCACTCGTGTTTGGCCCCTCGGCCCCGCCCCTCGGCCCCTTGGCCCCTAGGCCCCTTGGCCCATCGGCCCCTAGGCCCACACCACTCGTGTTTGGCCCCTTGGCCCTGCCCCTTGGCCCCTTGGCCCCTAGGCCCCTTGGCCCCTCGGCCCCTAGGCTGTGTTTGGCCCCTCTGCCCCGCCCCTCGGCCCCTTGGCCCCTAAGCCCCTTGGCCCCTCGGCCCCTAGGCCGTGTTTGGCCCCTCGGCCCCTAGGCCCCTCGGCCCCGCCCCTCGGCCCCTCGACCCCTAGGCCCCTTGGTCCCTTGGCCCCTTGGCCCACACCACTCGTGTTTGGCCCCTCGGCCCCGCCCCTCGGCCCCTCGACCCATAGGCCCCTTGGTCCCTCGGCCCCTAGGCCCCCACCCTTCGTGTTCGGCCCCTCGGCCCCTAGGCCCCTCGGCCCCGCCCATCGGCCCCTCGGCCTCTAGTCCCCAGGCCCCTCGGCCCCTTGGCCTCTCTGTCTCTGCTGCTACTACTGCTGCTCCTACGTGCTGCACAGCTATGGCTTCACTTAGGGTTCTCGCGTTCGATCATGAGGGCAGACCGGTTCAGTTTGACACGTGGCTCGACGACCTGCAGCTGTACCTACTGAGCGATTCTAAGGACAGTATCTAGCTGTTTGACCTAGCATCAGGCGCCGCTACTGCCCCTCCCGCCACAGCTGACAGTGCGACCCGCTCACAGTG